CAAGGTAAGGCCTATGTCACTCAAGTCCGCTATTTAAAACCTATCAAATATACACACATTCAAACACACACACAGTACTGTGCAAACAAATTAGGGAAGTGTGAAAAATGCTGTAAAGTAAGAATGCTTTCAAAAATAGACATTAAATCTAAATCAAGTCAGTATTTGGTTTGACCGCCCTTTGCCTTTAAAGCAGCATCAGTTCTTCTAGGTAAACTTGCACATAGTCTTTGAAGGAACTTAGCAGGTAGGTTGTCCCAAACATATTGGAAAACTAACCACAGTTCTTCTGTGGATTTAGGTAGCCTCAGTTGCTTCTCTCTCTTCATGTCATCCCATATAGACTCAATGATGTTAAGATGAGGGCTCTGTTGGGGGCATATCATCACTTCTTTAGGCTGAAGATAGTTCTTAATGACTTTTGCTGGATGTTTGGGGTTGTTGTCATGCTGCAGAACAAATTTGGGGCCAGGCTTCTCAGCATAGAAGGCACAATTAATTCTGACAAAATCCCCAAACTTTCAATGAACCTCCACCATGCTTCACTGTTAACCTGCAGAAACACATTCTTGGACCACTCTCCAGCCCTTCGGCGAACAATCTGCTTTCTGTTACTGCCATATTTTTCAAATTTTGACTCATCAGTCCAGTGCACCTGCTGCCATTTTCTGCACCCCAGTTTGTGCGTTTTCATGCATAGTTGAGTTGCTTGGCTTTGTTTCTGTGTCGGAGGAAATCTTGCAAATCTTCCAATGAAGGCCACTTCTGACCGGAGTTCTCCAGACAGTAGATGGGTTTACCAGGGTCCCACTGTTTTTTGCCAATGGAGGAAAGTAAGCACGATGTGTCTTTCATCTGCTGCAGTAAGTTTCCTTGGCTGACCACTGCATCTGTGGTCCTGAAAGTAGTCCGTTTCTTTGTGCTTCTTCAATAGAACTAGGAATGGACATCTGGAAACCTGTGTCCTTGTTGCTGATGCAGTATGACTACCTTGTGTCTTGTTGCTTTGCTCAGTTTTGCCATTATGTATGACTTTTTGACACTAAACTGTCTCTGGCAACCTCACGTTGTTAGCTAAGTTTGTTTCGTAAGTTCCTCCTACACAGCAGTTTCTCTTTCAGTTAATGATCGTGTTTCTACCAACATATTGAATTTATGATGCACCTGACGATAAGCCTACAAAATCCCAATCTCAAAGTGTACTTTGAAGTATTTCAAGGTAAACTTGCAGAAAGTTTTGAAGGCAAAGGTTGGTCACACCAAAAATTAATTTGATTTAGATTATTCTTCTGTTTACTCACTTTGTATTTTGTAAATTGATAAATATAATCTATAAACATGTCTACTTGTGAAAGAATTCTTACTTTACCCCACCTGCCTAAAACCTTTGCACAGTACTAGAGAGCCAGCCAGATAGACCCAATCCCCTCGCTTGCTTTGTGTCTCATGTGTGTCCTTCACCTCCATCCTGATGTTTTTCTCTTTCCTGCATCACAGACGTCGCAGGTGTCTGCTCGGAGCGTGGAGGTGGCTGGGGAGGAAGCGAATACCGTTCCCAATGTCGAAGCAATACTGGAGGACTTCCGGGTCTTGGGAAAGGGCTTGGTCAAATCAGTGGAACCCAGAACTGAAAAATGGTCCTTTTAGACACAGATGTACACACATACCACATTTCACCAGGTAGATTACATTTTAGCATTTGATATTTTCACCAGAGAAGGTACACTGATACCATTTTTTGTTTTGTTTGTGCCTGACTTATCAAAAAAGAGCAATGGAAACATGAACTAATTTGGACATTATGTTAACAGTGTTATATGTTTCAATTATATTGCTGTTAAAAATCAGCCACATTTGTTTTGGTGAAGCTGTATCACGTCTAATAAACTCATATCCATTCTTTTGATTTAGATTTGGTTCCTTTGCCCACATGCCTATCAGTCTTTAAAAAATTGTAAAAAGAAAATGATGACTAGAATATGTTTTTTGACTGGGACTGTTAATCCACATTTACAAATCAGCTTATGTGAATTCCGAATTCAGTTTTGTTGTAATAACCTGGATGCAGAAGGAAATGTTCAGTTTTCTTTTTGGTACTTAAAGGTGTAGAGTGTCTGAGGCTGTGTGTCTCTCACAGTCCTAAGTCCTAAGATTTCAGTTGGATCGCTAGAGTCTAAGCTTCTTCAAACTGATGCTTAGATGATGCTGATGCGAAAAACTAACAAAGCAGGACACTGTGACTGTTCTTTCATCATTGCTGTTTATGCAATGCAACATATGTAAGGTTCTGGAAAACAATTCCTGACAGTCCTATATTTCTGTAAAGCGGAAACACGGGACTCTCCGTTGTACACAAAGTAGAGGGAGTACATGCCTTATCAAGCAGAGACATGCCTGATATGACTGGAAAGGACAGTTTCGGGCTGACAGTTTGCTTCTAAAAAATATTCATGGTAAGGGAGTGTCTTGTTGCTTCTCCTTTCTAGGAAAACTTAACAGGACTTGGAGCCCTGGCCTTAAGGCATAAGCAAAATAATCATCTCTAATCACGAAAACACTTGCAATGAGATCATTACTTACATTCTTAGCCCCTTTGAAATAAATGCAGAAAGGTAATCCTAGACATACAGTACAGTGCACTGTTGTGTCATGTAAGATTTTGCTGTGCAGCACTTCTGGTTAAAACCTGCCTAGTGTCAATCTGATCAAATTGATTCTCAGCTTAAGGAATGTTTTTAATGTGTGCTAATGCCTACTGTACATTATGCTCATGTTGAAACAGAAGAGAACCTGTACTTTCCTTGTGTGTCCAAGCTGGGTTTAAATCAAGGTCAGCTTGACTTGGTTGAAGATACTTGAAGATGTTTCTCCACTCATACAAGATGCATCTTCAAGTATCTTCATCAAACTCCAGTTGCCCTTGATTTTTAACCCACATTGGATAACTATGACCAGGATGAGTGAGAATCTTCAGACATTACCCTGTGTAGCAAAAATTCAAAATGTTTACATATTAAACTAGGACCATAAACACCACAAACTGATTGATTAGTTGCACATTCCAGCATAATTGCTGTGCCTCAATAATGTACCGTACCAGGTAATTTATTTTGACCCAAGCAATATGGCCCCTTGCTACAAAATCTGAGATTGGAATAAAATAATGCTTCCTAAATCACGGACTGGATTGCTCCACTGTAAGCATCTTCTGAACGCTGCAGTATCAGTATTTTGTGTTTCCTGGTCTCCTTTACACAACTCTGGTAATTACCACAGTCCTTTGATTAACCAGGAACTGGAGTGCTTTTGAGTTTTCATTTGGTAGACTGGATCTTTGAATTCACAATCTCCAGTTTATGCCTGTACTTATCATTTCTGTTTCTTACTTGAAGTACGAGACAGGTGGCTGTTGACTTTCACAACCACAGTGACAAGTGACAACAGGCAGATGATGCAACAATAAAGCATTTCCTGTTAACTGCATTTTGTAAATGCAGTTGTATAGACAGAAAATATGTAGTTATTCAAAAACAGTAAAACTGTCATTTGATCGTAAGTAATGAAAATGGAAATACAGTCAACCTGCGTGTTATAATCTGTAATAACCTGGATGCAGAAGGAAATGTTCAGTTTTCTTTTTGGTACTTAAAGGTGCAGGGTGTCCATGTGTCTCTCACAGTCCTAAGTCCTAAGATTTCAGTTGGATCGCTTCCAACCATTACTGAAAGGGCATTAAAATCTGAGATGCAGGTGAGGGCTGTGATTAGCCCAGATATTAAATGTATTTGAAGAGTGAAGGAGGACTTCTCACTGTAACATTATCTTCTGACCACCAATAGTCCTTAATGTAATCTAATAGTAGAAAAATCTGGACAAATCAAAATGCTAGATAGTAATATTGTTTGTAGTGTAGATGTTTCATGCATGATTTGTTTGTATACTAAATAAGTTTGGTTTGAAATGTGTTTAAAGATTTCATTACTGAAATTCACCAAACAATTTCCAAAGATTTTGCTAGGAACCTGATTTGATTCATCCATTTGATTGATTCAATACCAAATATCAAGTACATGATACTGCAATCTGGTGGCAGCACCTTGTGCAGTGTGGGGTTCGTTTTCCAGGACACACACAACTATCATTCGTGATATATTGCTCTATTGCAAACTATTAAGCAAGCTCAGTGGATTGACGTGTTTAAAGTGGTTTAAAACATTAATATCTAGTCAGTTTGTTTACCACAAGGCTGTCCCAACAGATCAACAAAGTGGAGATTTGAAAGGATATTATCTTGCACTATTTGTAGGACTGTTTTGTAGCTAACATCATCTCTGTCTGGCATGAGGCAGCAAGCCGACCTGCCCTGTTTATCTAACGCAAATCAATCTTTCTCCACCTGTCTGCACCTGTCATGTCCTCTAGCACCTGATGGAAAACAACTGCCACACTGGCACTCCTACTGGAGACAAACACATCTGGTAGACATATGGAACATATGGCCATCAATCACAAACATTAAAAACAGTGATCTGTGCCATTTCCTGGACCTCAGGCCAAGGACCTTGGACTTGTGAAAGTGAAAAAACAGTGTGTAACAAACAGCAAAGCTTAATTGTTAGGACTTGTTTTTGCAGAAAATGGACAGAAATTCCTATTGGTTTTGTAGCTTTCCCTTAATGTTTGTGGGTACCACCATTCTTTTACTTTTTTCCATCTACTGTCCTGTTTCTGAGCCAAACTATTCCAGGAAAAGATTTTTAAAACTATGTGGCCCAAAAATGTGTCACATAGCTATCATTGGCAGAATCATTATTTTGCCAGTGTTTACATTGAGCCACATTCTGTATGCCAGTGAAGTGGAATATTTTCACAAAAGGGATACACTTATTCCAACCTAGCAATCTTTTTAAAAACTCCAAATATCTTAAAGAAATGTTACACTGATTCCTACTAACAGAGGCGTGGCTGAAACTTGAAAATGTTCTCACACCTCTATTGACACCAGACAAAGAAGGTAGGCCTATATGTGCTGATGAAGTTTCAGACGGGGGACAAAAGAAAAGGTCGGAGGGAACGAGGTTGAGGACAGGAAAGAGAGAGATGTGTGTGAACGGGTTGGAATGAAACCAGTAAGGGCTGCAAACAGGTATGCATTACAGTCATTTGTGTGTGCTTTTTATTTCTGTTCTTATGAAGAGCATGAAAATGCCTTCAGGTCAGACAACACTGTAAACGCTGTTATCACACTTACTATGAAACAGCCTTTTCTAAATTCAGTTCTGAGGAAGAAAGAAGAGGCGTCATAAATAATTTTTTTCTGTTCCTGTAGCTGCCTGATCTCAAGACCATTCCCAAATCGCACATGTAAGGAACTACAATAAGCAAAGCATGTTCCTAAATTCAAACGTGTAGATACATAATGAAAATCTAAACTTTTAAATAAATAAATGTAATAATTGGATTATATTTTGGCAACATAGTTATGGATTGCAAGTATTGAGGAGGCTGACGTTTCGGGTTGCAGGTATATAATGAAAGGTCAGTGAAGGAGCCCAAGGTATAGGAATGTAAAGTGTGTGTATATGTATGTATGTGTGTGTGTGTGTGTGTGTGTGTGTAAGAGAGGGAGAGAGAGGAAAACAAGAGCGTGAATCACATCATGACAAGCAGGGAGGCTGGTGCAGAGGGTGGGGCTGAGCTCAGGCCCTTCTGGGCTGTATAAGAGGAGCCCAGTCCTCCCAGATTCACAGCCACTCAGGAAAACTTATCTACCTGTTTTCTCATAGTCTCATCATTCACTAGCAAGAAAACATGGGCAGACAGAAGGTGTGTTTGGAAAAACTGTGCCGGTTCTTCCACATCCGGAACCAGCTGCTTCGTCAGGCCCTTGCAGAGTGTCTTGGCACCCTCATTCTTGTGGTAAGTGAGTGTGTGTGTGTGTGTGTGTGTGTGTGTGTGTGTGTGTGTGTGTGTGTGTGTGTGTGTGTGTGTGTGTGTGTGTGTGTGTGTGTGTGTGTGTGTGTGTGTGTGTGTGTGTGTGTGTGCGTGGAACATTATCAATGCCAAATACTAGCCGGTATCACCCGCATTAAACTAGGCCTACATGTTGAACTTTTAAACCTCAGCAAGCTTATGTTGCCACAGTTACCACAGACTGATGCATTCCAACAGGCAGAGGGAATCTGACTGAATAGTTGTATTAGTCATAAAAGCTGTTTCAGGTTAAACCGAAACCGAAAGGCTTCTGTGATGCTTTAACATCCACAGTGCTGCTGTGCCGAGTTTAGTGACTCATTTTATCAACTCCTCAGTGATTTAACAAATTAGCAAAGCCGGTTATGAAGACGTAGAATTATGCCGCGCGGCCTAGTGGGTCAAAAAGTGAGAAAGCAGCGTTTTTTAATAACTTCCAGAAACATTGCGTGCAGAAGGCAAGTCCACCTTCTCTTTTCCTCTCCATGCTGGCTGTAGTGCCGGTGTTGTGCATTCCAGCAACTAGCCCATCCAGTGAGCGCGCTTCCAGCTCAGCTGGTCGCGTGCTTGAAGCACGTCTAACCTTCGACTGTTGATTCTTTCTGCAGCGCAGCGCAGCACAAGATAACACAGTTCTAAAAAGTACACACCTACATGTAGGCTACTTTTTAAAAAATGTACAACACACATAACGCACTCTCACTTTTTTATTTACTTTATTTTATGAGCTGTATAAAAATGAATTGTTCTTTTGTCATGTATTTGTAGCTTTGGCAATATTGTTGTTTTACATTCATGCCAATAAAGCTAGATTAAATTAGAATTAGAGAGAGAGAGAGAGAGAGAGAGAAAATTCATTTCTTTAATGAAGGGTTAGGCTACTAAAAAGCCTCTGGGCCGCTGGCTGCAGGATCAGCGCTGTTATGCTCCATTCTGACAACTGTGTTGGTGGTTTGTGGGTCTGGGTGGTTGGATAACGCATGTTTTGCGGGCAGTAGCAGAACAATAGGTAGCCATATCACATCACATTCTTTTACTTCCTCTATCATACATTACAGAAGTCCCACTGTCATTATCTTTGTTTGCCAACGGCTTATCAACCATAAGCTATTAGTGGAGGATGAGATGGACAGTTAGGTATGGTGTGCAAGAGGTGGTGCCTGTACCTCTTGGTATTGATTTTGGCACAAATCTTTGTACTGATTTGTGCCACTGGCTCCTGGTAACTTGTTAGGATCATTAAAGAAAATGTCTGAATTCAGTTCATGCTGAATTAATCTAAAAAAATGTTGTCATGCACTAGGATTACCTTTTGTGGCCACAAGCTGAAAAGGCTATATATGATAGTATAATGCCAGCATAGTGTGTTTGGGTGTGTCTGTTGTTCACACAGTGGAATGTATAGTATCAGATCAGTCATGGTGTCTGCAAAGATATCCCTATAGGCAGATAATGTCTTTGTTTATCCTACTGTAACTGCTTTGTTAATCCCTCATTGCACTCTCAAAACGTGTTCTGCATTTTCCACTTCAAACCACTGTTCCCTGCTTTGAGCTGGAGCGTGTTCCATAGGGGGGCTTTTGAGGCTCTTCATCCCGAATTTGAAAAGATCACACAGGTAGTGATTTAGAGACTGGTTCCAGGCCAGTAGATTCTTTGCCTTCAGCTCCTAAACTATTGCCAAATGTGTGTTTCAGTAGGCTTACTGCTGTGGGTTATAATAAGCTACCCAACTGTGTTAAAAGCTTGGAGTATCTGCATGGATGCACGACCAGCTGAATCAGCCAATTGAATGTTGGCTGAAGAAGTGGTGGGGTGCAGTTAATGAACTACAACATTATGACAGCAACATACCAAGTTGCTGGAATTCTTCAACAGAGTGAAAACACAGTCACTGGTGAGTTAGAAATAATACTGACTGCTCCTAGATTCAGTGTTGGATTTAAATAAGACCTTTCTGGTGTAATGTGATCTAAGTCAGGAGGTTGGCACTTGCAAGTTAATGGCCCGTCATTTGCAATCGGATGCCTCTGACATTAAGAAATTTGTTTATTATTGTCACACCACAAGAGCCCATCATGGTCATGGCATAAGATCAAGGAGACAGAAAACAATTCTAACATGAGGCTGGTTTATGTAGTATTTTTCCAGTAATGGCTGACCTCGCCAGGGTGGAAAAGAGTTTAGACTGAGCCCAGTGATGATGAACCCCCCTCAGGCGCCAGTCCCTCTGAGAGTGGTTCCCCCTCAAGCTAACCTCAACATTTGAGTCCTGTGGTCTAACTAAAAACCATCGTCATCTGGAGGCTTATAGAGCTGCAGACCACACATATTTCTTTTACCAAACACATACAAAGAGGACACAGGGACATACACACACAAATACATAATCACACATTATGCAGAATAAACAGTATGTCCCCTGCTTGGCAATGCTGCTATAAACCATTCTGTAAATCTTTCTTCTTTTGACAGGATCAGTCATGTTGTCCATAAACACATATTTTTTCCCCATTTTCCTTAATGAAAGTGGTAAATTAACTTAAATTATTTTCCCTTCCCAGATAAATCAGCTGGGCAGTAGCAGTGGCTGTTTTCCCCCAATCAAGGTCACAGAGTGACATTTTTGTACATACAGTATACTGTACTCCAGTGTGCCATTATGAACACAATAGAGCTTATTTATTTCTGAGTTGAGCCCCTTTAATGGGTCTTTGTTTCACTGGTTTCACTGATAATGATCACATTGACTCATTTCACCCCTTTGCTTGACCTTTATTGGATGACAAAGCACTAAATAAATTCATGTTTTTTTTTACACAACACTGAGATACTGAACACGGTTTGTGTGCAGTGTGCAAAACTTTGCACTGGGACATTCTAAAGTCCTGATGTGAAAAGTGTACATCTCTGGACCTCTTTTGATGATTTCCGAAAACACGATATAACATAATACAAGTTTAATATATATTGTGTGTGTGTGTGTGTGTGTGTGTGTGAACTTGTTTTTCTACTCTCTCTCCAGATGTTTGGCTGTGGTGCTGTGGCCCAGCTGGTGTTGAGTGGAGGTTCCCACGGCTTGTTCATCACTGTCAACTTTGCCTTCGGCTTCGGTGCCACCTTAGGCATCCTGGTCTGTGGCCAGGTATCAGGTACGCAAACCATTTTATTGTAAATGACATTGTCCAATTTCAATTTTTTTCAATGACTCATTTGGTTTTTTAATGGGTGCAAGGAAATTAATACTTTCTGAGCATTACATTTCCCAAACAAGTTTATTTTTTAGGACCACATTTTAGCATGCTATTGATAAATCTGGAGTCTGTATCTGTATTTAGAGCATTTTTTCTATATTTAGGTAATGCTGTTGCATTATATGGTCATGATCTTTTATGTACTGACATACTGTCACCATGTACATTTGCAGGTGGCCATCTGAACCCTGCAGTGACATTTGCCCTCTGTTTGCTTGGAAGAGAGCGCTGGAGAAAGTTCCCTATGTACTTCCTTTTTCAGACAATCGGCGCTTTTTTTGGTGCTGCCATAATTTTTGGCATGTACTACGGTAAGGGATGACTCCAGATGTGGAGCTTAATTTAAAGAAACTATGCTGTAACAACCATATATGAAGAGATTTATGATTTATGGTTTAACAAAGTCCAAGTGCGTCATTCAAACAACCAGTCTAAACAAAAAGTTTTATGTTTTATGTTTTATTTTATTTTGTTGTTTGTATCTCTCTAGATGCCCTGTTTGACTTTCCTGAATCTTTCAATATTACTGGGCCTACTGCTAGCATCTTTGCTACCTACCCTGCAACCCATCTCACAATTGTCAACGGCTTCTTTGATCAGGTACTCTTTTGAAACGTGGAAACAGCTATCACAGACTCAATTTTAATTTTACAAATATGATGATACAACTTACAATTTCTCCTTAAATGTACCTCTCTCCATAGTTAATTGGCACAGCAGCGCTGATAGTTTGTATTCTGGCTATTGTGGATCCATACAACAACCCCATCCCCCAAGGACTGGAGGCCTTCACTGTGGGATTTGTGGTTCTGGTCATTGGATTGTCTATGGGATTTAACTCTGGTTATGCTGTCAATCCTGCCCGAGACTTCGGACCACGTCTTTTCACCTCTATGGCAGGGTGGGGCAGTGATGTTTTCACGTAAGTGCACAGATGTTGAGCATTTTATTCATCTTTTATCTCTACATGAACTCGCCTTCGCAATACACTCACAGTGCTTATTATCTATTTGCCCACCTTCACATGGGGACATACGAAAAAACTACTACGAATTAACTCTTTTTTCTTTGGGTAACTTCTCAGGGCTAGAGACGGCTGGTTCCTGGTGCCCATTACTTCCCCATTCATTGGCTCCTTCATCGGTGTGATAGTCTATCAATTGATGGTTGGCTTCCATGTGGAGGCAGAAGCAAAGTACAAGATGAGTAGAGAGCAGGAGAATGTCCGACTCACCAATGTTGCCGCCAACGACAACTCCAAAGAGGATACAAAAGAAATGCACTGAGCAATTTTACATTCTGTATATACTGACACACACCAGCTATTTGTCCTTCTGGCCATAAGAATTTTTTCCAAACCATCTTACACACAGGTGTTACTTAGCTGGGATATCTCCCACAGTGATTGTATTATATTGTAGAGGAATGTTTATGTATGTGTAGAAGAGAGAAACACAACACAGAAACACAGAATTACATTAATTCTTTTAAGAGATGAATATTTGAATCCTAGTGTCTATACCACTGCAGTTTGAACAGTATTGTATGCTTTATACCAATAGTTTTATGTAATTTTTTAAATAGTTTTTAATACTTAACTACTTAAAGAAACATTTTATTTAGAAAAATGTCCATCTTTCCCAACCAATTTATATACATTTTGTCAGTCCAGAACCTTTTTTTAAAATTAGAATTCAGGAAAAGTGTCAGGAAATTAAAATATAAACTTAAACCAAAAAAAAACATTTTTAAGAGAATAGCTTGAGAAGAATATTGTACATTTTAAGTACAGTAAGTGATCTATGTAGATCACATCCACGTCGACAACAACATTCTTCACGTTACCACTGACATCAGCTATTTTGTGTTTTAATATACTCTCTTAAACAAGCTGGCAATCACCAGCTAGCAAACTTGATCATTTACACTTTGTATGAACTATATGTTATCAAAAACAATTGTAGCCTTCTAGTTTAATGCTTGAAATATCAGATGTGTGTTAACAGATGAGATATATCTTCTTCTATGTACAGTAAAATATTATCTGTCTTTAAATTGCTATGTTCATTTATGCAGAGCTGGACTGTTCTAGACGCTTACTACACACGTTGCATAGGACCCCACCTCTCTTTCGGGTGTTAAAGGTGAAAGCGAAAGTTAATGTTAACAACTCTGATGGGCATGAGAAGAGAAAAAACTCACTGAGAGTTTATTGCGTTAACAGCAGTCATGTAAACATGTCAGCAAATAACAGTAATGCTAGGTAAGCGTGTTAGCTAAAATCAATCTCTCTAGTCTGTCTTGTCAACCCAGCTGGGCAGCGAAGTTCTTGGTCTTCTGTGGCTTGGTTGCTTGCCAGACTTTGTGTCTGAACAATGTTAGAGTGCGCAATTTTGGACGTGTAGCCTAGGGCTCCGTGGTCAAGTTAGCAAAAAGATATATGCAATATCCAGTCAAGTTAGCAAGAATAAACTAGTGCTTAAAATTGTGAGACATCGCAATTTGGTTAAGTTTAGGCAACAAATGTACTTGGTTAGGTTTAGGAAAAGATCATGGATTGGGTTAAAATAACAAAATTAACTTCTGCAACTTAAATAAAAACATTCAGTGTTGACTTTTTATTTCACACGGGGAGCGAACACCGGTCTCCTGGGTGAAAGTCCAGTGTCTGGGCCACGTCCTTACTCTGACTTTTCTGTTAAATATACCAAATCTTCCTTTAGTGTTCATTGCACTGCAGGGCTTTCCACAGTGTGATGAACTATGATGCAAAGAGCCTTCCCCATGCATTACAAAGTGAGGCCAAGGGGTCTTGACCATGCATCCATATGTGACGACTTGAGAGTGAGAACGTTAGTCCAGACAGTACATGGATGTGATGGCACTCCTTATAGGCACACATCATTTTACAACAAGACAGTGATTATGGCAATGGCAATTTTTTACATGGCTCATAAGTCATGTAGTAGAGCCCCATAGGAGAATTTTGCTTAGGCCCCCAGGGAGGTCAAGACCAGCTCTGCATTTATGCCTCTTGATGTATTTGTACATTTTGTATGACTCCAATGTTTAGGTGCTAAACCGGACTGTGAGCACCATGGTATTTTGTATGTATGTTGAGGGAAATGCCTTTGTACTAATACAATAAAGTTCTGTTTTTTGTGGATCATGTTACAACCCTATTATTTATTATTCTTGTCACAAATACTTCTCCTTTCTGATGGTGAAACACATTTCAACTGTATGTACTAGTGAGTTATACCACTAAGTAAACAAGTTTTTAAAACACTTTGGTTGGACAACAAATCAAATGAGGTAGGGTGAGAAAGAAACTTGGGTAACAACATTGGTATCCAGAAGTGTATAAATGCAGAATATATAGAAATTGAATCATGTGGGAACTGTCACTTTTCTTAACCGTTAACATGCCGTGCCATGCTTTTTACTGCTAAGATTTGGAAACAGTGGCTAATGAGTAATCAAGTGGTGAATATTGTATTAACACAGTCACCTGACGCAGTCACTCGTGAAAATAACCAGTTTCCGTTTCCATCTTTGTAGTCCTCTTTCTTGGGGTGCACTTTTTACTGTCAGGGTTGTAGTTTGTTTTCAGTTAGGACAGAGCCAGGGAAACAGTTAATTGCTCTAATTGGTCACTGTAAATACAGTGCAGGTTTTTAAATAATTCAACACTTTAAATATTTAGATTAGAGGAGAGCGAGCCACTGTGAAATAAAGGAGATCTAGTAGTAAAGATAGTGACACATGATGCATCTGGCATGATGCTTTGTAAAATGTTAAGCCTAACTGAATCCATTTGTGTTTGGGAAAGTATACAATTCTCCCCAAAAGGCTTGCATCAGGTAAACCTTTAGTGCAAGTTGTGTGAAGGTTGCAATAATACCCAAACTCTGCTGTTCTGGCCAAAGCTTGCAAATCAGAAAGACCGGGGGCATGGCATCCCCATGCCGCTATTATTCTTACAACATCCTGCTATTAGAGGCTCTCTCAGTCCTTCTCTGTGGATGTGATCTGCTGTGCTGTTATGCTCCACTTCAGAGGACTCTGGCATTTCCTCTGCTGGGGTGCGGTGGCAGCTGTTGTTGGAGATGGGGTCTAATTGCGCGAAAGATTGTATGTCCAGTGGGGATTTGTGTGTGTGTGTGTGTGTGTGTGTGTGTGTGTGTGTGTGTGTGTGTGTGTGTGTGTGTGTGTGTGTGTGTGTAAATGAGGATTTTCTCCTCATTTCCTTAAACTCCTTCTCTAATTGTCACATGCTTTACGTTAACTTCCTGTCTTCCTGACATAGTCTAAACTAACAGCATGTGGGTGAGTGTTGAGTGGTCCTGTCACACGCAACATCCTCTCGTAATCTCCCAGAGCACTCTTAAATTCTTAATCCATTCATAAACAAGTCTGTAAACTGAACATTAAAGCAGCGGTAGGGAATTCCTTTGAAAATAGTTCTGCTGAAACTGTCTCAATATCCTGACAGTAGTATATGAGACAGATAATCTGTGACTCTGATCCTCTGACTCCTCCTACTGCTCCGAATGCCATTTGCAAGAATCCAGGGCTCCTGGGACAAAAAAAAAACAATCTGAGCCAGGAGGAGTCTAAAAGGCAGTGGCAATCACTGCTCGAACACACGCTGCTCAGCCGCCCTCCTTGCGCATGCACTCGCATAGTCAAGCTCAATATCTTCAGCACAGCTTGAGATGTTTTGCAAAAAATGGATGTGAAACAACTACTAGTCATGAAATAACTGCCTGTTCCTCATTTGACAGCCTACATAGTACCAAACAAGTTTGTGAACATGTCCTGGCTGCACATGAAGCTTCAGGCTCTTTATGTTCGATGTCATGGCACTCCTATTGGCGAGCTGCCTATGAAGCTGCCTCTGAAGCTTTCAAAAATCTGTTGTAAATGTGTATGTTTTTGTGATGCTTGACAGTCAAGTCTACCAGCAGTGACCAAAATCAAGAGCTAAGCAGGAGCCTGCACACATCTCTCCTAAAAAAACACCTGCTCCATCATTATGCACTGCACACCAGTATTTTACACTGCTATTTTAAGGCTACAATTTATTTCCGAGCATACCTCAGTTTCCACAGACCAGAACTGGGCCACTGTCCTCCAGTGCATAAATCAAATCAAATCAGCCCCACCGTGCCAAGGGTTGATTTTGATAGAAAATCTTGCCTCTTTGCCATATTTTCTAAACATGTGGAGATGTATAAACATGGTTGGTCTGTCTCCAGTTTCATTTACCCGCTCAATGTGTAATCTTTAAATAAAGAATTTCAGGAGCAAGGCGGAAACTGTGTTCTTGCAGTGTTTGGATTTTGGCCACTTCCAACAGGTCTTAGCATGTCACCTTGTATGTGAGGAAGAGATTGCCTGCTGGGGTGCCTGGAAAAACAGGCACACGACATTGTTTTCAAAATGTTTATACAGTAATCTTTCATCTTGACAAATGGAGCCTTTTGAGTAAATTGTATTGAAAGACTCTCCACTCCTTGCAGTGCAATACCATGCCTTAAACTTAAACCAACACATTTGGTACTTGACTGTTATTATTACAAGCAAAATATTTAGTAGGAAATCCGATAGCAGCCAAATTCCACAATTCTCCATACCAAAAACAACACAATAAATCCCATGAACTTCAATCTACACTTCTTTTCATTAAAACAACCATTACAAAAAAACAAGTGTGAAAGTTCATAGCCTCTGCGTAGCCCCATAGTCTACAGTGCAATTTATACTTCTGCGTCAAATCGACGGCGTCACCTCTGCGTAGCCCCTTACCCTACACCGTCACCTATGGCGTAGCCTGAAGGGCACCTCCTCAAAAATGTAACTACACGTCGAGTTGATGCGGACCGCAAGCACTGTGATTGGTCGGCTGGGAAGCCTCGCAATAGAGAGCCTAAGTCACTCTCTTCCACTTCTGGCTCGTGGGACCTTATTTTGGAAATAATATGTACGGTAGTCAATGGCACGAGACAACTTATCTTTTTATAGAATTGAGCCTTGAATTACACATATGATGTTGGTCAATTTAAAATATAATTTTGCAAGTCAAGAAAGTCGCAGTTTGTCGTAAAACAGTAAAGTTACATCTCGCACAATATGCGTCACCAACATGTTAGCGCAGTAATGCTAACTTACATTCGTTGCTACTAGCTGGATTACTTAGCTGTGTTCCACGCAGAAATATACCTCACCTGATGTGTTGTTTTATCACATCATCCTCTCATGTAAATGTTTTGACATTAGCTTCAGAAACATTAGCTTCAGTCATTGAGAGAGACAGTTACGACGTCACATACGCAACTTTTGGGTTTGTGGTCTTTGTAATTATGTATTTTAAAAGTCTTATACCTGAACAGTTTTACTTCAAACTGCGACTTTCTTGACTTTAAAATGTATCTTTTAAATTGACGATCATATGTGTAATTCAGGGCACAATTCAAACGGGATCAAAATATTTGTTGTCCCTCACCATTGACTACCGTACAATATTTTTAAGAAATAAGGTCCCCTGGTGGTCCACCGGAAGGGGAGGGACTTAGGCTCTCCCGAGCCTCCAAGCCGACACGAAGAGCCCGTGCTTTGAAGTAACTTTTACTAGCGGCCAAAACGGCGGCTGTAACACGGTGGATCAATATATTTGACCGTCACAACCTGAGTGAAATGACTCGTTTTATTATCAGAATGTGATCCATTCGGTCGATAACATTTGAAAAGGCTATACGCCGCATGTATACAATTTTACCCCCATTCACGTTAGCGGAGTGCTAAACTGGAAGTTAGCCTACTTGGCCGGTAAAAGTCAACACAGTGGACACTGTAGCGCTACTGCCGACTAGTGTTTGGGTGTTAATTGCTGATTTATGGACACACGTACACGGACGTAACCTACGGCGTAGCTACGCACGTAGACCGTACACAGGAGTATAAATGGGCCTTACGCCGTCACCTACGCCGTTGATTCAACGCAGAAGTATAAATTACACTTAAGATTGCAACCAGGTGTGTGCTCATACGTGTGCTCGGCTTGAACTCATGAGCGAGCATAATCCAAAACACAACTGCTTTCATAAAGAGATCCCGCAATAAATACAGAAACACCAGCCGGCTGGCTGTGGATTTTAAACCAACATGTTTCGGCATGTTTCATGTTTCTGTGTTACTCGTAAACGTTCCCTAATCAGAGGCAGATGAAATGCTTTCTGACTTCTTACCTTTCATACAGCACAGTGATCTGGCATTTTGGCGTAATACTCCCAGAAAATAAGGCAGTGTGAAAGCAGCTATAGATCAGACTCACAAACATGCTGGAAATTCAGGTAAACTTCCACTGCAATGTTACAGTAAATTCCTTTTTTTTTTTCAGCTTGAGGTTGAACTAATCCATGCTCGCATTGCCTGCATTCAGCCAACATGTTACATTGCTGTTTGCTTATCTGTCCGTCTCATCACTGTGTTGTTGTCCTGCTTATGTTGCATTTTATATTATGTGGGTATGTATGTTACAAGGAGTGAGACCGGTGGAGAAGCTGTATACCTGAGTATCGGTAAAACAGCAATAAATCTAAATTGAACGTTATTGAATCACTGTAGGCTAACAAGTCGCTCCACATTTGCTTTATACCGTTACATCATTTCTTGCAGGCTAAAATCAACACTCTGACACAATATGGGTGGTATAGGATAGTAATATGGATCCTGTTAGCTGGTGAAGTAATGTGGAAAACAAATCACTGTAGTATTTTGTTCCAGGATTACGTTAACAACTGCTCGGCGTTATCCGGTGAGCTAAAGCACAAAATCACAATATATTTCACATGCTTTGCAATAATGTTACTTGTCGAACAGGATGAAAGCCAACTCTGTGTCAGTTTTGTCGGTTCCAAAACAAAGCGGGGGTCTCGTTGTGACTCAAGTCTTTCCGATGTTGACTGTGTTTTCACCCAACCTTGATCTGATTCTCCTTTGGCCTGACAGCACATAAAACTTTGTTTTTTATCCTCATGGTGTTTTTTGTTGGACTCTGTTGTGCTGGGAGCTGGTTGTTTTTGTTTTTTAGGGAACTCCCTGTCGTAAGCTGCAGTGTTGTCTCCAATATTGCGTGCGGAGTCCGTAGACAAGAGGCTCAAGAGCGTGCATGC